TTTTTTTCTTTTTTCCTCTTTTTTTCTTTTTTCCTCTTCTTTTTTCTTTTTTCCTCTTCTTTTTTCTTTTCTTTTTTCTCTTTTTTTTGTCGGTGTCTTGATGATTTTCCTTTTAGTGATATTGGTTTTCTTGTTCACTTTAAGCACAGTCTGACTCTCAGGGATGTCACTGTTTCAATTGCTTATTTCTTGAATGCAACCGCGCTGGTCTTGCATTCCTGTTACAGCATTTTCGACTTGAATCGAAAATTTGAAGCTCCGATGACACTTGCAGGTTGGGACCTTTCTTTGCACAAGTTGTTTGTTCCGTTGATTAGGATACACTTCAATGATCATCCAGAACCTCAGGGAAATGTAAATGATGTTATGAATATCCGATAACTGCTGTTATTTTTTTTTTCCCCATTATTGTGGTTCATTTTCGTGTTTATTGTTCCACCTGCAGTTTATTGCATTCCTTTATATCACCTTAAACATTTTTTCTTAAATCATTTCATAAGGACCGGCTCTTCTCGCAAAAGCCGCCATTTATTTGAAAGTCCTTTACGATGTGGGTGAAGGTTAACAAATAGTGAATAGGTAAATTGCAGAAGTAAAAATGGGATGTATGAGAATCTCCATGTAAAAATTTTTGTACTTCTAGATTGGGTGTAATTGTTAGTCCATTTTGTCGGATTATATAGTAAACCTTTACTACGTCGGACTTCCTCGGAAAGTGCAGATATGTTACGGTGTTCGGTGATTTTCCATTTCATATCGTGTATTTTCATGAATTTTCTTGGCGTTTGTGTCTTGTATTACATAAAAGTTGCTGGTTTATTAATAATCGTGTAAGTAAACTGGGTTACTTTCCAGGGCACGTCTTAGTCGGATAGGGGTGATGCGGTCGGCAGAAAGAGATAACGTACGAATAACGTTCCACAGTCATTGCTAGAGACTGTGGATGAAGGGATTTTTCTTACTGCTCTATGAACTTTTCGCATTTTGAGGATCGACTGAGTAAGTATGGGTTGCGAAAGCATTGCTGGAAATGAGGAAGAGGGATATGATGAAAAAGGTAGAAATCTGTGGAATGACGAAATATGGGTGTGGTAAAGAACTGATAGAAGTGGTTGCAAGCAGTCAAGTCGAAAACATCTGGAAGTGTTGGGATTACCAGTGCATGTCGAATCTTGAAGTGGAGAACGTTTCATAGAATGGACAGATAACAACAATATGTTGAAGTGTACGGACGACACGAACTTGTCAGTATCCCATGTTCATGTTTTGACTTCAGGTTGGGTGAATCTTGTCGCTGGAATCAGAATCTTATATGAACAATAAAGGAGCTTTTGGGTTTATCTTATTATAACTATAACGTTCAAGAATTTGACTAGATAAATTTTTGGGATACATATAGGTTAATCAATGAGAATAAATGCTAGCCGTTCGATTGTTGTTCATTTTTTTAGTTCGTAAAGCATCGAGAGGGACTTCAAACTGGGAGGTTCATAACTTATGCTTCTTAAAATGAAGCGCTTTCATGAAAAAACAAACACATTTCAAGGACTAAAAAGTAAGCGAAATAATGCGTCGAATGACCAACAGAGTGGAGTTAGGGTTTGCATTATTTTTTTGCTCAAAATAATACAACTGTAAAGTTGCCATTGATGCTCAGCTACAAAAAGCTTAATAAGGAAACTTCCTGTGACGAACACATCGATGAGCACAGGACGTTAGTATTTTAGGATCCGACTTCACAACCATATGGTAAATGGACTCCTTGCCAAAAAGTGTTATGTAAATAGGATTACTCAAATACCACTACGGACTACTCTTACAAGACAGCGGAATTTTAAATACCAGCAATTCGTAAAGAAGCGACTAAATAATTCACTACAGTGTGCGCGAGTGCTGCTTATGACTTTCATTTTGCAAGTTCAAAAAAACAAGGACGGGGATGACATAAAGAAGTACTGAAACGAAGACTACAGTCTCGGGGAATTATTTCCTATTATTTTCGTGATAACCAACTGAAAGGTGATAAGTCATTATTCATAACACAACTCTAGTTCGATCTTCAAAATAACGATCCACTGCCTTTGTAAATTCGAATATGCTTGATATTACTAATAGAGGAATTATAGCTACGACATATTATTTAACAACACAATTCTGCTGGAATTCTGAACTTCAATATGTTCCATTCAATCAAGAAATCGTCGAGAGTTTAAATACATTAGTACGGTGACTTTAAGGCATTCAATGGGATTTTATCCGAAAAAAGGCTTCAGCAAACGAGATCATAAGTATAAATGAAGAAAACATGTTAAAATTCTGATTTAAGTTACAAGTAAAACTTAAGAGGGAAAAAAACCATGAGGAAAGTTTCTAAGACGCAGAAGAAGACAGCGGAAAATCAAAACGGGAGCAAACAGTTCACAAGTATATCAATAAAGTAATGTCATAAAGTAATACGGAAAAAAACAAAAATTAAGTGCTGAAATCAGTTGCAAATAATAATCGGCATATTAAGATGCCTAGCTGAAAAATTCAAAAAATCTCAGCTAGAAGGAAAGTATTTCTTGTGCATCCAGTTACAAACCAAATAGATAACGATAGTAAACAAAAAATTAGTAAACAAAAAAAACTTACTTGTTATTTGTTGCTCTGCTTCCTGTTTAGATTTACCACAGCAAACAAAAGAAAAATTATGACACGGTTTTACAAATAACGAGTAAAGGCATTTCCAAACTGCGTACCATTTACGAAGACAGCGGACAACGTATTTATTGGCTACTGAAGCCTGGTTGTTCTAGTAAGTTTTCGTGCCTTCTAACGAAAAATTAAAACACAGCTCAGCGAAATAACATTACATTTCGAGAAGTTAGAATTAACATCAAATTGTCTCAGAAAAACGAGATACTATTTTTAAAGAAACAAAATACTGATGATGAAAATAACACGCCAATAAAAAAACTAAATCACCAATTATTTAACGTCCTCCGCTCAAAAAGGCCTCCTTTTAAGCCAAATTCTAACGTTAAATATAGTGAAAACGTAAAGAAAGGGACTAATTGATGAGGTATACTTGAACATTAGCTAAAAACGATGTCTGAAGAGAAATTCGTACGAAAATAATCCTACCAAAACGAAAACTTTAAACTGCAGCAGAGGAAGGAATGCAAAACTTGTATCCAAAGGCAAACCTGAAAATATCCCTCACGAGATTATTTTCGCAACATAAACTTGAGAAATTGATTGAACAGTTCGGCAAAAAAACACATAAAAGCTTAAACTGATCTTTTGATCGGTGCTTGGAATGAAAAGTGAACAATTAAAAGACAAAACACATTCCTCGACGGAAACTTAAAAGGCATCTTTGACAATAGTAGCTCAGTTAAACACAGTTAATTATTGTTGACTATCATAAATGAAACACATGAATACATTCCATAATTTCTTCCAATTATTGCAACTTTTCACTTGCACAAATTCTCCAGCAATGAAAGACCTCGTTATTTCCTCCGAAAAAGTCAGTTTTCAATGAAATCACATCTGCATCTATTTTAATGCCCTCATATTCTTGCTTCAAGAATTAAAATTAGGTACTGCACAAAATAAGATATCATAATTCAGGTCAATCTAGTCCCTCTTATTAAAGTTCTGATTTGATCGGGATATAGAAATAACGGATGAAAATGAATATAATATTGATGAGCTGACAAACAATGAAACTAATTCCTGAGACTGGGCACATTTAATACGGAAATTCGTAAATTTTTATCGACCAACAGCACCAAATGAGCTGGAATGACTGTTACCATAGTGATGGACAACAGGCTGGGTACGTTGATGGCTCGTTGGAATAATTGCAAATTGGGCCATTATTGGTATGTGATCTGAGGGCACATGGGGATGTGGGAAACCGATTATTTTATTTGCCAGCACCCATTCCATATTTAGCGGTCCTAATACTCCCAAACGAGCTAATGACTGCGGCGTCGAGAAGATATAATCGATAACACCTTTAAATTCAAGCCTGAAATTCACACTCTTTCACATTTCACAAATTTTTATTTGGATAACCAGCAACCACCAATGGTAAAAATCACGCTAAAAAAATGTGATCCAAAAAATGAAAATGATGCCTGGTTATCCCCACGAAAGATTTGTCCTATTTATTTTCTAGGTTAACAGCCATTGTTCTCTGAATCAAAAAATATTTTTTTAAAAACGAAAGTAAGCTTTGTATACTACATGTTTTGAAATTCAAAACCAACGTGTAATTTGTAAACGACATTGAGTTAGGATCCACAGCGCAATCAAGCCTGAGTCCATGGGTATAGACCGTCGGATCATCGGATGCACTAAAACGCGTAACACAAGGGTCCTGACGAAATTCCTTGAGATCCGGATGCTCCTTTGAAATTGCTCCCTTCGACAGAAATTCCACAACTCCTAAGAAATTGCCTATGAAATGCCCGGAAAAAGCAAAACGTTCAATAACTTCAGCAAGGAAATTGTCAAGAAAAAACTGCTTTCATGTTTGTCTATGTGCTATACATGAAACATTCGTCATGAAAATATTGCAATCCATAATAATCCAGTAGCATGAAACCTGATTCAGGAAGTGAATTGAGATCGCCACAAATTAAAACAGGTATCTGTTGAGGTGTTATACGACATTTTTCCGATATCTGGAAAAGAGAAAGTGACGCTTTCCCCGAAGGTCGGCAAACACCATTTTAATTAAATTTTGAATTTTATCTCAAAAAACATCATCGAAAAAAACATACTTCATCCAGCAAAGTGTTTATCTCTTGCACCAACATCATCGACTGAATCAGCTTTACATCGCAAAATTCTGGATCCCAATGAATGTGTGCGGTACTCACAACAAGTGGATTTCCAACCACATTGTCACTTGGAGCCATAGTCATTTGTCCTGCAGATTCTTAGAATAATAAAGGAACCCATCACTTTTTGTTGTCGGAAGAACAGTTCGTAGAGAAATCAAAAATGCAGAAGCAAGACGTAAGACATCAATGTCTTTCTGCATTTTTCATTTCTGCATGCTTTTACATAGAGAATGAACAAAAGATTTTAAAATTATTTTGACATGAAAATAACATTACAAATTTCATTGAGAACTATTTAAATTATTTTCCTCGTGTTATAACTTCATTTCCCAGTAGTCACCTGCATTTTGCTATCCTGAACCTCAGAATACTTGCAATTAAATACAGATAAGCGTTACTTATTTTTCGAGATAACTTAAAATTAAGGGAGTTGTGACAGATATAATCACATCGTATCAAAAATTGTTTACTGTATATACCGTCAAAAAAAAAAAACATGAATAAACAAACGATTTGCGTAGACATTCTCTTTGATTTTGAAAACAGCACAAAGAGCAATGTTATCCTTTGGCATAACACGATTCAAGATTTTCTCACTTGTCGGAGCTTTCTTTATAGCTACTTGAGTAAATTCGATAAGATGTTCTTTCTCCAGCTCAAATCTGTAAATATACTTTCCTGACAATTGAACTTTTTAGCAAAATTTAAGTCACTTGCAAAGAACAGTTGCGATTAGAAGCTGAAGTACATCGGAAAGTAAAAATACTGCAAAATGACGAAGCATCCATGCAAAGGATGATCAGTGTATGCTTTTCCACAATCCTTTTCTCATTTACACTAAACTTTTCATAATTATGAATAAAACTGGAATGAAACTTGAAATTTAAAGTGAACAAAGAAAACAGAGCAACATACTTGTCGTACTTCCAAAATATCGCACAACCGTCAACAAATTTTCGTTCTTCCTCACCCATCGTTTTCGCCCGTGACTTCGGCGAAAAAATGCCCGCATAACCGATTTGCTCTAACTCAGGTTGAAAAAGGCAGCGGAATTGCTCAGTTTCTACTTCCTAAAAACCAATTTACTAGAACTTCCAGAATGAAGATTCAAAAATAACAGAAATGAAGAATGAAGGTCAAGAAAAAAAACTGATTTTTATATTATTACAAGAATGACAGAGACAAACACAAACATACTTGCAAGGTGATGATATCAGCTTCGTAATGTCGGATTTCCTTTAAAATTGCTGTTTTTCGATATTCCCAATTGAGAGCCCAAGATGGACAATACGAATACAGATTGTTCGTGGCGTATTTATCACACAGAACGTTATAGCAGAGAACAGTGAACGTTGCTGAAGATAATGGGAAATATGAATGTAAGGTTTTCGGAGTGTCAACAAAATTCAGATGAAAGTGTAAATGGATATGTAAATTAAAAGAAAAAGCTGCTATCCACAACGGTGAAATCATGTTTTACTGAATAATTAGTATAACGCGGTTCAATACCGATTGGTCTTTCAGGATCCGCGTGCCTTATCATCACCCACTGGCGATCCGGAGGTACTGTCGCATTTACTGAAACACATCAGTAATCAAAGTTTTCGAGGAGTTAACTGTTCGAAAACTTTGAAATAAATGAACAAAGTACTGCGAAAGAATAAATGGGACAGGAAAATTTCCATGCTTAGGTAACCATTCAAGGCACACTTTTCATAACATTAATCAGCAGAAAAAACTAAATTTATTTAATTAAAACAAAAGTATATGGCGCTTTTTTCCTACAATATCAAAATGACCACTTTATTCTCACACTAAAATGCGAGATTATAACAACATACTTGCTAGATGATCTAACAGAAATCGAAGCAGTTTCTGAGGTCCAGCTTCATAATAAATTTTATTAATCTCAGGAGATAGAGGATTTGATCGAAGATCTGAAAATGAAAAACGGTAATCATTTACTGCACTTGTTATGAACAGTTAGATTATAAGAACTAACCGAGAGTTTGCAAACGAAACAGTTTGCCTAGCTCGTAAGGGAGAACCCTTATTTGATTGCCGTTGAGGTAAAGGTGACATAGAGAGATCATATCGCCCAGTTCGGCTGGCAGACTACGTAGTTTATTTTCAGACAAATCCAGCACCGTTAAGTTCTCCAACTTCGAAATTTCACAAGGGATTCTGAAAGAATATAAAGAACCTTTGAAGTACAATAAACAACATACTATTTAATCCTAGCATTATTCTCTGAGGCATCAATACTCTGTTAGTGCAGATGCTATACCAATCTACTTTATTGTTTGAATAAAAACAAGCAAAAGTGAATAACGGCAAACATTACCTTGTCAGATGGTTTCTGTACAAGAAAAGGGCGGTAAGGCATCTCATTTCCCACAAAAATGGACTTAAATTGCGACCTGCAAACAAATATATTTCTTTCTTTTTGATACCTGATGGCACGCATTGCAATAAAGACGATAACACCAGAGATGAACGATAAGTCTGAATGGAAGAACCAGAAATGAGACCATTGTGAACTTTTAAATGTTTTAGTAGCTTCTTGTTTAACTAGAAAAACAGATTTTTTGGCTAAATTTATGTTACCCCTCTTTTGCTAAATTTGTTTGAGAAATTCAGGAAAAACAAACCGCGTATCTCGAGCTCCGTCCAACGCGGTTCTTTACCCTGTGCAAGTTCTTCCTCAGTCATTATGCGATGCACTCGCAACATGCCGTTTGGCAATTTCTTTCTACCGTCCGTACTTTCCGATTTTGTTAACGGTAAACCAGCTGAGGTGGCGCATCTTTCATGTCCATGTCCATGCGTATCACCATTAGGCAGCGCATATTCATAATGATGTGCACCTGGCACATATGACAGGTCGTGTTCTGAAACTCCATTCAGTTTTGAAAAATCACCGATCAGCTTCAAAATTAGATGAATGTGAGTTCCAAAAAAATTTAGAAACATGCAATAAACAACGGGAAACTTAGTCCAGTAAAATACAGAACAAAATCTTACTTACGTGATTAAGTCAACACTGTACTCATATCCCAGCATGTTTGCTGCCATAAATTGCATTCTACTTACTTCGGTTTTTGTCTCTAACGATACAACTCTCTTCAGTGCAGTACAGGGCAGCAGTGACAGGAAAGTGTCAAAGTGTGTTAGAGAATGATACTTTCAAAGACTTAGAAAAAGCCTGGAAGAGAATATTGTTCCTGCAGTTGGTCAAAGAGGAGTAATTTGAGTGACCTACACCCAAACAGCATATAAATTTAACAGAAAGCTGCAATAAGCTCTTTTTAGCAGGTTTATCATTATCATGCAACACATTGGGCGTTCCACTATTTGAAACTCCCTGAAAAAATGACAGTTCGACATGGGCTATAACTTCAGAACGAGGTGGTCACTTCGGCAGCAAACAAGCTGATCGTAACACTTAAAACAACACAAGGCATTCATGCAGAAGCATGCAATCATAACGGAAATGATTAAATTTTGTTCTTATTCGTGGATTCCTGTCCAGAAAAAAAGAACATACTGGGAAAGAACAGCATTTGTCGCCTGTACATGATAATACAACTTCAGCTTTAACAGTTTTGTAACACAGCAAGCGGTGCACCGACTACTCCCTCAGTTGCTAGTTTGATGAAAATGATTAATTTAGCTTCTCAATCCACCTAAAACATTTGAATTTTTTGAAACCATTAAACAAAATATTGCATATATGCTTTTATGAGGAATTTACTAATTTCAAAACTTTCATTGGTAATCAATTTTCCCAGGCATAAAAAAGTTATTGATTTACTCTAGGAAAGCAGATTCAGCCAGTTTTTATTCACATCTGAAATCTTCCATAAATTCTTTTATCCCCTCCTTTTCCATACCAAAATATTTTTAGAACGAGTTTTTATGTTTCTAATTTGACTAGGATACAGAACCATTTTCTGATAAAAGGATTTTTCTAAATTTGAGCTTTCCAAACTAGACAACATAACTAAACTGTTTAACGACATATGCCCAAATTCTGAAGTTTAAACAGTCCGCTATCTTTAAAAGCTAAAAATGTTAGCAATTAAGCACCATTTAATATTTCTCCAAGCGAGATTTCATTAGCAAAAAGCGTTATTTTACAGCAACATTGAAATTTAAAATTCTGAAACTGAAACATGATCAAACATATTGCCTTGCTGAAATTATATGATGAATGATGAATGGGTGATATATGATGAATGAATGACTGACCTAGGCATACAATGATCTGAATTAGTACTCATCTAATGACTGTCTTAAGAGGCAGTCGTCTCGTTTAATCATTGAGTAATTTTAGGACTGCGTAATCATAAAATACAGGATTTTGGTTTAGATAAAGGTTGGCAAGTAGGAAACCTAATACAAAGAATGACATCAGAGACTTGGTCTGACGAAATATTCCCTTTGCTCAAGATCCAAACATTAGCTTCATAGTTTTCTATCGAAAACCTAGCATAAATAACTCCATGTCTGTATTTTATGATTACGCAATCCTAAAATTACTCAATCCTATATTTTATGATTACTTCAAAGAAAACAAAGAAAATTTTGAATTACAATGTCTTAAAATGAAATAGTAATTTTACTGAGAAAACTAAAACATTCAGCAGTTTCTTAATTTGGATTAAACTTAAACAACAGAAGTTACTATTCAAGAAACTTGAGACACTTCCAGAGACCGTTTGTTTCTGTTATTTTCATACCAATTTTGTAGCGAATCTAACAAATAAGTTTGCATAACGGTGCTGCAAAATTATGTCCTCTCTTATTGTGATCGCATGCAGTACTGAGATATACTTGCCATTATCATATGAAGTTCATATTACTCTCCTATTCATTGAACTATTAAATATCAACAATGTCCCGAATCAGAAGTTATAAATAGAACATCTTAACTATCTAATTTTATGTAATTTTAAAAGTTTAAGAATTCCTATAAAAAATCTGATTTTCGGTTCGTTTTCTCAATTAAGTTCGGCAGTCACACAATAAAGTCACACCAAGCACTTCAATTAATGATTGCAAACTGCGTGCAAGATAAATGGACCGTTTATCAAAAAAAACCGCAATCGAAAGATATTTTTAAGCTTTTCTTAGATTCCGCGGAAAACAAATTTTTAAAAATTCTTCAAACCAATGAACAACACCATGAAAAACGACGAGCATGCAAAAGAAGAAAATTTGATAGGAGTGGGAAAGTTATAGGTCTCGAAATGAAATATGCACAGGATTACAAACAAACACGTAAACATCACCTATCATATTTAGTACCTTTCATTGTAAATTAAAATTATGACAAATTTCTGCAAAAATGATCCTAACAGAATGAGTGGTTAAAACCATTCCAAAATTCCACTTAAGGACCTCATCACCATTTTATCACCAAAAAATGTTAAAGCTTGTAGAGTCACAACAGCAGAGATATCTTAGAAGTCTCAATCAAGAAGATAAAAATGTTATAAGCTGGCAAAGACCAGCAGAAACCTGAACCATCAGAAAAAATTTGCTTATTCATTCGATTGAAATCATCAAAAAATTTATTTATTCATCGAATGAATATTTACTTGTTCATTCGATTGTAATAAATCATCAAATCGAATGAACAAGTAAATACTGAATGGCACAATTTTTCGAAAAGTCATGTACGACTGCATCCATGATGCAACGAAATATTCTAAACTGACTGAATGGTTGTCATAGTAAACTTTTTTCGAGGGGTATGTATAACTGTTGCACGCGCAAAAGGGTTTTATAGAATTCTAGGAAGCGCAAAACTAACGGAAGGAAATTCCTGGTGGTACAGAAGAAAGTAACGACTTCAGGAGGCTACTCATATCCCTCTAAATTAATCGTCATTGCAAAGAAATCACCTCAAGACACTGGGTATTATAGCTCGTAAGGTTGACTACCGAAGTTTCATTTTTTATGGCTGGAAGGGAAAAGAAAGAGAGAAACGTACTCGCGCTACTGGTTGTCATCCAATACACATTAATATTGAGTAGTATTCACGTCTGGACGTCTTCCAAACCTAGTGGTCTAGCCGTCCTTTCTCGCCTCCCGTTTCTTCGCTGATAAGCTGAAAGCTTGTCTGTCCAGAACTTTACGCCTGTAAACAAACTACAACTGTCAATTTATTTCCATAATTTTCTTTGACTAAATTTGTTTGAATAACATGCATCGAACGAAATATACCTATTTTATCAGTAAGGACAGCGTGGTGGTTATTAGGAATGGTGGTAATAAGCGCTGAACCACAATACATTGGTTTAATAATATTGATGTTGACACTGCGATTCAGTAAACAAAATAACCGAAAAACTCTGCACGGTTTTATAAAATTATCTCACTGCGTTATCTCCTTGTTACCTGGCCGAATGGAAACTTTTTTTGGAGAAAAACTCGAACGACTTTGAAAACACTTGCCTTAGAAATTTGCTCTCGTCATAAGTCACGCCTCACGACGGACGGTCCCGTAGTAATCTATTTAGGAACGTCGTTTGCGACAACTAACTCTTGCATCTCAAAGTAAATGATGCTAGCAAACACTTACAGGGAGAATTTATTAATGAAAGACTAATGCACAACCATGCCACTTCAACACCACCAGTTCTCGGGACCCACATCTAGCGATTATCTTACTAAAGGTGCCGTCCAGCCGCAAAATGCCGGGAAGCAAACCAAATAAAAATCAGTGGAAATAGCGGCTTCTACATGCGGACGTTGTCTTGTGGTAAATAACGCAGGAGACCGGGGTCGTGTAAATATGTTTAAAAGTGACAAAGAACGGGATGTGTGTAACAGAGAGGCTTTTGATGTTAAACTCACTATTTCTTGTCCTTTTGTGGACTTGGAGTTTCGTCATTTCTTGACTATGTCTAACATTGTCTTCCGCGGACAAATAAAAATATGTACAGGAAGTTGATAAGATGGTTTCCATAAGATTGTGAGGCTAGCTTTTAATTTTTAGAGTTTTAGTTGTCATTTCAAATAAGACAATGCTCAGGAAAAGTAATGTAGGGGGAGTAAAAACAAATGGTACAAATACTGGCTCGCCACATGGATGGCTGCTTTTTAGATAGAGGCAATATTATTGATTACTGCAGTTAAAACATTTAGTTTGCATGAAGCCAGTATTGCCTTCTTTTCAATTACATTTTCATGTATTTATAATTCCACTAATTTTCAGCTTATTAATAGAGATTCACATAAAAAGATGTACAATCTGATGACTTTTCATGTTGCGTCGATAGAACGGAACTTCTCATCCAATGGCTGTATGAACTTACGCTGGTTCTTACTTGTATCCGTAATTCACCACTTTTAAAGTTATAAAAGTGGGGCATCGCGTGAGAGTAGGATTGTGGTTGGTGGTTGATGGTGCTGGGGAGAATAATGTCTGGAAGTTACACAACATTCACTAACCGTGATTTACGAAAATTCCGAAACATGCGAAATTCTAGATAAGGGATGTCGCGAACATACCCGGAGTTAGCTTCTCTTTCTCCATCTTGCATTGTTTATAAAAAAAATTAGTTTCTTTCTTGCTTTGGAACTTTCTTCAATCATGAAATTTGATTTGTTTGAATTCAATTTTTAGTCGAATGGAGTTATGGCTAAAACCCTACTGTACGGTTTAAAAAAGAATTGTATGCATTAGTTCGAAGTGTTATAAATTTCGATGTTTCACTACATTGTAGCGATTATACAATATTGAGAATTCTTTTGAATTCCAAGTGTTATAATCACTAGTTGAATTGGAACTGAGTTGAATTCGCAAGTTGAATTCATGATATAACACGTTTTTGCGAGTAAATTGGTTCGGCTCTTTACAACGTGAAGAAATGTAAAATTTCACACCGCGGTCCAGTGGTTAGGCTTTATATATGCAGGCAAAAAGAAGTGTACAGTGATGGCGGCGCTCTTTTGAAGCTTACTATAATTAGGTCTAGGCATTTGTATTTCTAATATGTCGAATTATGACGAGCGCTGCATGTTAAGCGTATATACTACCTACGGCTTGCGAAATACCAACCTGTGCTTTTGCTGGCCCGAACTTATCGGACGAGCTTATTTACAAAATAAATAGAATTGATTATTTGGAGGGCTTAAAGTCGCAGTAATTTCAGCTGCCTGTTGGCTTTGCGGTTTTCTGGAAGGAGATGGCCGAAAATCCTCTAAATTTTGTTAATTATGGAACGAATAGTCAAGCAATGTGGCAGCAGCAGCCTGAAGCAAATGATTCGGTAACATCTGACCAAAGGTTAGTTATTTAATTAGTTGGACTCAAAAATATTTTAGTCAGCTAATATTAAGTTGGAACCACGATTTTGTTACCTTGGAATACTTCGTACAACTAATACCGCTTCGGCACATTGCATAGTCCAGTGATTCTAGAAATGTTATCCTTTAATAAGAGTTATTTGATTCACCTAGCTGGCCACCATAATTTATTTGAATTCATTTGATTATTACGTTTGCATTCTCACTTCATTTTTTTATTTATATCGCAATGATGCAATTAATTTTTAGACACGAGTCTTCTTGATTCGAATTTAATCAAAGGATTCCTCTATTGCAGCATGCGAAGTACAGCATGGACGACAAAAATGCTACCGTCGAACAATTCTATGTCCAGTCAAGGTTTTTTTTTTCATTTCCATATGTAGATATATAAGAATTATGTTTGACCTGAGAATGAACTGAATGGATTTATAACTCTTCATTACATCGTCTTCTCTCTTAGAAATTTATATTTTTAGGTTACTTTCTTGACAATATTGCGGTTGACAACAGTGTAAATGTGCTGTCATACTTACAACAGCATCCGAATTCATTTCCAGTCAAGGTCCTTAAAATTTGCTGCTTTTTATAATGTTATGGGGAGTGTGAATCCTGGAGATACCGTTTGTGACATTCAGCCATTTAGCAATTGTGTCGTATATTATTCAAATAGTTAATTTTGAGATGGAGTGCTTGGAATTGGCTATTATGTCCTTTCGCACTGTATACAAATTGGACTACTAAGTTTCAATGCCTTATTTTTTTAGGACAGCGTGCAATCTGTATTTCATGATTCGAGTACAACAGCATTAACTTACAGTTACAAGCCATCATGCAGTATGACCAATCATCAAGTGAACAGTGTTCGGATTAATCCGTTTGAGCAGGGTGATGTCACTTTTCAGCCTCAACTGCTTCCTAATTTTTCAACAGCACCGTTTTCGTCCATGATTCAGTCAGTGGACACATCTGCTCCGACATCAGCAGTTCCTCCACAGACGTCTTTTCCTTGTCTGCCTGACCACGATATCAATTCGGATTCAGTTGTTACCTGCGCGCAATATCTACCTCTAGCTTCTACTGAGCCTCTCACGAGCGTGGCATATAGGAGTAACGCAAGGAACGAAGTTGATTTACATCATAATTTCCCAGCTCTTAGCAAGCATTCACAGCAACAACCATTGAACGATAATTTTCAAATGAACGGGAATTATCCAGGTGGAATGGGTAGTTTGCAACAAGAATTTGCTCGAATGGTGATTTCTCAATGAGGATAATACTGAAAAAATTTTCGTTTTGCACTAACATCTTGAATAATATTATAAACAAGATTAAGTTTTTTTTGGTATAGATGCATAGAATCAATCACACAAAAGATTAAGGATTATTGTATTCACGGAGATCGTATAGTCTGGCTAAATTTGTTTGTTGACATATGGAGTTATAATTTATTAAATGTAGAATCTTATTTTATTGATTATAATATTAGTACAATAACATTAATGATGATAGGAAAAAATACTCGCAAAATGTTGCCTTACAGTATTTGACAGTCGTGGACAATTTCATTATACACTAGTAGTTCTATCTGTTATTGATATTTATGCCAGTTTTATGTGGTATGGAATTGGCTAAATACTATGTTAAGAATATTTTCATCTTTTTGCTCAATTAACTCTGAACTAATTAGAGTTATTATGGCAGTTCTTATGAGGTTTATGAAGAAGTTGTCTTTTTTTTTTATTATTATATCTGTGAAAGTAAGTTGTAGAATTATGGGATGCAATCGACGAAGTATATTGATTTGATGCAGGAAAGGGATTTAATGAAATATGGAACTGATGACGAAGAGATTGCTCTTCCACCAACTGTTTGCAATCCTGATGCCCGATGTAATCCTAGGTACAATTTTTTGGGAATATAAGAAATGAAGTTTCATTCAGCTTTGACATTTTATGTAATAAGCCGACTATCAAACTATCATTATTAATTTTATTAGAAGTGTGCTATAACATCTAGATTCCGATGATAATTTGACGAGCCAATGTGGCGTTAGGTAGTACCATATTACAGTGTTTTCTGCCTCAGTCCTTTTGATTGGCCTCCTGCCCCCTCCCCCCTTCGATATTGTCTCATGGCTTCTGCGCTCTGAGGAAATGCTAAAATTAAGTTTTAAAAGGAGAAATATTAGTCATAACTCTTTAATATGCACTTCAGCATATTTCGTTGCACATTGAGTTCGATACCTCAGACTCAAGAACTGTTGAAAAAATCGCGTTTACCATTTGGACTCACCTTGCAACCATTTAGAGATATGAAGGTTTAATTTTCTTTTCTAGTATCATTGGAAGAAATTATTTAATAGATGATTAAGAACGGTTGTATAAGTTGTAAATAGCAAACTGTTCGTGTTTCTGTGGATTCCAATGTACGGAAATAAGGCGGTGACAAATTAGGATTACTATTGATGAAAAAATTAACATCAATATAAAGGAGTTTCTAATACACATTTGATCATGTCCACGAGCTTTATATCTTTTATCAGAAAAAATACTGTAAAATATCGCAAGTTATTTCCCAATTTTGTAGAATCTCAATATCATCCAAACATCATCTATTGTGCGATGTCGTTATTGTCGTACTTACATTAATCCTTATATTTACATACCAGATTCTCGACATTGGAAGTGCAATATTTGCTATCGCATTAATGACTGTGAGTTTATTATTTTATGAATTTGTCGAACATCACATAAGCTTTGGATTTTTCCAGCGTGGTTTATTTTCTTGGTGAAAACGACTGAAATCATTTCAGTACCAGATGATTTTAACTGGGATCCTGCTACAAAATCATTTGGTGAACCGACTCATCGTCCAGAAATTAAAAACTCAACCGTCGAATTTATTGCTCCTTCTGAATATATGGTAATGCGAAGTTTTGTCCAACCAGATCTATTACAATTTGATTTACTGAAACAATCTTTAATCCTGATACTGTCAGACTTTTATTGGCTTCTAAGGCTTAAATTATTCATTCTTTTCATTACAGTTGCGTCTGCCACAACCGGCAGTTTATGTGTTTGTAATGGATGTCAGCCAAAATGCAGTTGAAACAGGTTCGTTTTCCTACCTTTAGTCTATTAAGAGTTGAGGAAATAGGGGAATTTTATTTTACTCAAGACTGTAAAAGAGACAAGTTCGTGTTATTGCGGCTAACTGATTGAGAATCACCGAATCATCGAAAATTTTCGAGGAAATTGTGGTAAAATATTTGCCGTTTAGGTTATCTATATACTTTCACTGAACAACTTTTGATTATTTTGGAACAATTACCCGGCGACGAGCGTACTATGCTTGGTTTTATTGGTGTAGATTCGGCTGTTCATTTCTTTCAGTTCCGAGGGAAATCACATCCACAGCAGCTCATAGTTGAAGAATATAGCAGTAAGTAAAGTTTCTAAAAAACGGTTTCAATACATATTTATTGAAGGTCTAGGTTCACTCCTGCTTTTTATGAATGCATTTCACTTCAATAATTGTTTTGCTGAGCTCATGATCAGCATACACATAAGTATAATGGCATCACTGACTAGGACCTGAATTATTACGATATGATAACGTTTGAATCAGTACGTTTTTATACAAATATTACGGCAGAGATCAACTACTTCGATTAATGCTGTTGTAGATGTCGATATAAAAGTTTTGTTCACTAGCGTCAAATGTATAGCTTTCTGTTTTTTGATTTTTGATCGATTTGAATTATAAAAAAATGATTTCAGTACAGATTTATTGAAGATCTAGATTCACTCGTACTTTTTATGAATGCATTTTCACTTCGTTCCTTCAAATGATGTGTTTTTTAGATATTTTTCTTCCAGTCAGTTATGGATTGTTGGTAAATCTTCGCAAAAACGTTGATGTAAGTTTCCATATTTCTGATATTAGGCCCTTTATTGCAATCAAGTTGCAGCTCTAATTTAAATGTTTTTGCAGGTGATACGTTTGTTTGTACAAAGTTTACCTGCTCTCTATGAATCAAATTCCTCAACTTCATGCTGCTTGGGTGCAGCGTTAACTGCAGCACATCAGCTTATTGTTAGTTTTTGTTCACTTTCTGTTCTTAAACTTTGATTCTTAAGTCCGCCAGTTTGCGATTTGTTTTTCAATAAAGGAATTTCAAACTCACACTGCCGCACTGTTTTCATGGTTGTTCTGCTTATTCATTTTCTGTTCAAACTCAATAATTTAGGCTGATATCGGTGGAAGAATCACCGTGTTGCTGACTATGATTCCTGATTTAGGGCCAGGAGCACTCAAAAGTCGAGAGGATCCAAATCAGCGAGCAGCCGCTGTTGGTTTCCTTTATGTATTGAGTAGTCAGCAATGTTTTTTTAGTTTGGGACTATATTTCTTTCAAATAATATTCTACCTATATTATGGTTACAGGAAATACCAAATTTGTGTCCAGCGAATGATTACTATAAGCGTTTAGCGCTTGAATGTACTGGGCATCAAATTGCTGTTGATTTATTTTTAATGAATAGTCAATACTCTGATTTGTCAACTTTGGGCAAGTTTTGTGCTATAATTTTTTCCCCAAAAAGAGATAAAACTTCATAAAGTGTTTGTGAATTACATGATTATATGTCATGTAATCGATAGTTTTTCTTAATCAAACACTGCACAGTAGGAAAGAAGTTTGTATCCAACTCAGACAGAACATTCATTGGAAGATTAATACTGAAAAACAGAGCTTGTTTAACACAGTTTCATTTGTTGAATTTTGAAAGATATAGAGCTTTTGTTAAATTTTGTTAAAATGCAGTTCTACTTGTTCAAGTTATCTTTCGATTAACATTATCGCTTCAGCTGATATGTCGAAGTTTAGCACTGGATGTGTCTTTCACTTCCCAAATTATCATATAAATCAGGATCACTTACAAGTCAAAAGATTTCAAAAACAGTTAAATCGATATTTGGTTCGCAAAATTGGATTCGAAGCAGTGTTAAGGATTCGATGTACAAAAGGTATCTTTTATTTGGACAATCGCTACTTTTTCATAATTTCAGGTTTTTTAAACTCTTTTAATATTTATAGGCTTGTCTTTACATACATTTTACGGGAATTTTTTTGTCCGCTCGACAGATCTTTTGGCAATGGCCAATGTAAATCCGGATTCTGCAATTGCTGTACAAGTGCAAATGGAAGAGAACCTTATTGGTATTAATACGGCATGTTTCCAAGCTGCTGTTTTGTACACGTCAAGTCGAGGTGAATTATATTGAAGCATCTGATTATTAAAATTTATCCTTATTCTTAGGATTACGATTATTGTTAATTTAACATTGAATTATTTAACACAAACGATACTTCACCAATAACATATTATTCACACATGATCGAAATTGTTGAATTACTATTTGCAAAATGAATCAAGCCTTTATAGTAAAGAATTCTTCGTCCTCGTTAATTTTTTTCTTTCATTCTTTTATATTGTATGTATGTTTCAGGTGACAGACGAATACGAATCCATACACTTTGTTTACCGATAACGAAGGATTTATCCACTATTTTCAGTCAGTTTGATGTGAAATGTGCAATATCACTTCTTTCAAAAATGGGTAATGATTTTTAAGTGCTGAATAATAAAATACCCACAATCAGTTTAAGGCTATATCATCGGAAATTGTTTTTACCTTAGCCCTAGCCGTAATGATGAAGCGTGTGATATTTATAATTCTCATTTGAAATGTTTCGTACTGCATCATCTAAAAGGGGGTCACATGTCAGGCAGTAATTTCTTCTGCTTATGAAGGAGTAGTCCACTGAAACCTGAAGTATATCAAACGCAATTTGGAAAATGTAAGATCGCCTAATTTTACCTTATAAAATAGCGAGACATCAATTTCACTACTATACTCCATTTGAAGTAAAATATTTTCTCATAATTCTTCAAACAACGCCGAAACAAAATTTTTCCGTAAAAAATGTCCTAGATAAGATCAAGGCAAAAGTAAACGGAGATAAAGAAATGCAAACACTGAATGGAATTAAATCTTTTGGAGAGTAAAATTTATTTATCTTGATAAGGAACTGAAGATATGATGAAACTATGTATTCATTACATATATTTGTTCTAAAATGTTTAGCGGTCGAACGTACTTTTATGGGTGCAAGTTTGACAGATTCCCGTGAAGCAATGGTGAATACTGTCGTTGATGTATTTGGTGCATATAACTCTGCTGTTTCCTGCATGAGTCGTATCAGCTCTATGTTATCACCAATTACTTCGATACGTTTGTTACCGCTCTATGTATTGGGCATGCTTAAACATGTTAGTTGTCTTACTAAATAGTCCTGATTCAAGAACTAATTATTCAAAATGGTTGTTAATATTTTGCGTTTTCATATGAAATTGGTCAAAACCGAATATTTTGATGATTAACATTGTTATCCTATTTCAAGATTTCTGTGTGACTTCGTTCACTCCCTTACTGAAAGGCATGTTCTGTTTGAGGATAATTGCAGTAATGGTGATCACTGATGCCGTCTTTGACTGTACAACGTATATCATTCGTTTTGGACTGTTATTTCCAATGTGTCCTGTACTTAAGAGCTCTTCATTTAATGTTTAAAAATATTTCGACTATTCCTAAGTTTAGTTTGGCAGCATTGTTTTAGTTTTACGTTTTTTTGTCTTTTTAGCGAGCATTCATCGCAGGACAATCTGTTAGATTAGACAATCGTGTGGCTGCTCTTCTTCTCTTTCGCAGTGCTCCTTTAGAAGTGATCGACTTAGAGTTATATCCTGCTTTATATGAACTCAATCATTTTATTGAGGTATCATTTTATTGAAATTGCATGAAAATTCGGCATTTAAAGTAATAGCCTTCCAGATTTAGACCAAGAAATCTTTTGATTTTGTTGTGAACTTCAGACAAACTTTGACTGTTTAACAAATTACAGTTGCTTATTTACTAGTTAGATTTCCATATTAAATGCGTTCTATGGAAGAGAGTAATTACCTCTATGAATTAAAAATGTACTGGAAAAGCAAAACACAAGTTAACTGTTGGTTTTAGATTTCTTATCAGTTTGCTCTTGATTTTAATTTTCTTATCAATTTGTTTTGTGATTTCAGTGTTATCAGTTTGCTTTTTAATAGATGTCAATCGAATTTTAGCTCTAGCTACTAAAATTTGCTGTACTTCATAAAGAATTATGTTCTTTTTACAATGGTTTTATATTTTTTACAGAATGAGGCTGACCCGCCAAGATTACATCTCTCTTTCGAACATATTAATCGAGATGGTGTATATTTACTGGACACGGGCTCATATGTTTACATATATGTTTCATCAAATGTTAAGTCCAGCATTTTAAAGCGTTTATTTGATGTGAATACATTCGAAGAAATTGACGATGAAGCAAGTTTATTATTTTAACCAAAAAGTAGTAGCAGTAATTTTTTCGCACTTCGATCTTTTTCTGTCACTTTTTTAAAAGTAATCTAGCTGGTGTGGTGCCTTAGAGATCCATCAGCATTTTTTGCCTATTGACTTATTAATATGCACTTTTTTGTTACAGAGTCCATTTGAAGCTCTTGACAATCCATTCAGTAGTAGGGTACACAATTTTCTTCGTAAACTTTCTGTTTATCGAACTATGTTTGCTCCAGTGGTATTAATACGGTAATGTCTAATTTTTCATTAGAAATTTTTCCTCTCTTTTTTCCTTATTCTTTTTGCTTTCTCTGAGAGATTTGTTGAAGGATCATTTCATTTATGAACTTTTTCTGACACCAATATGCTCAAATTTTTCTTCAAACCGAGGTTCTAGTTAATTTTTACTTACACTTGAAATCGTGAGATAGATTTTGAGATATGATGACAATCTTTAAAAAAAACAATCCTAAATTTTATCCACATTTTACTGAAAAGTTTGGCTCTCCATTCGCCAACGGGAAAGGGGGTTTAATAGATCTAGTTTTGATAGATATTCTCTCGTTAAATGGAGTAAATTTCATTGAGAACATTTCCAGAGAAGATAGTCCTGTACGCAGTTTATTCTCCGGGCGTATGATTGATGATCGCACAGAATCATCTCACAGCTATATCGAATTTTTGAGTTATATTCGACAAGAAATCCGGAAATAGTCAAAATTATGTTTTTGCATGTTTCTGATTGGTTTTCATTGTTCTCGTCAGGATCATGTTGGATAGTTTGTTACGAATTAATTTTGAAACATTCTGTTATGTTGGTCGCTAAATTTGAATCAATTTTTCCACATTTGAATGTCAAAATTTTTAACTAGGATTTTGGGAAAACTGGAAAAAAGGCTTTCCTTAAAATTGCAAGTGTAATATGCTCTCACTAATAGGCGAGTAAAGTGAATATACACTAAGAATTGCTTACAGTTTGTCTAAGGCTTTGTTCGCCCGCTTGAAATTTTTAAGTTGTAAAACGCGCTTCGAATAAGAGTTGTATGATAGGGAAAATTGTTTTTTATTTTCAGCATTTCCAGTTTTACACATAGGGTCTTCTGTGTTAGTTTCCTAGACATTTGATACTATTTTTAGACTTTACCGATTTCTAAAAAACTTTTTTCAGTTTCGGTATTTTGTCAAATTACCAATACCTTTCATGATTTTGTAAGCAGTTTTAGTCACTGTAGCATTTTTACTGTTAATACGACCCTCTTTTCTCTTTCGTTATGTTTTCATTTCATTTTTCAAGATATTATCAATTTGGCAGGTAAGGAGTAGCCTTAAGAAACTAATGATCGAGAAGATGGAACTAAGTTTTCTATATTTGTGGAATATTTTATTAAAAAATTAACATCGTTCCGATGTAAAACTCACTCTTATTTTGTGAATGAAGAAGCAGTTTTTTTGTTTGATTAGAATCTTCATATAAGTTTTTCATGGGAATAACTGTAATGGGAGGGAAGTCCTCAATTTTTCATTTAAGGGAGTGAGGAAATATGCAACTGATGTAATGAAAGTGAGTGAGGGTAACGAAGATGTTCTTGTTCTACCGTTTGTTGTATAGTAATGAGAACACTTTAAGTAGAAAGTGATGAAATAGCTTAACATATTTATTGCTTTGGATTTATGTGTTAAACGTTGTTTATTTTGTTGAGATAATAATCTGGCCTTATATCAGCACCGTTGCAGACTATTTCAAGCATAAATGCAGTACGGATTTCAATGTCTTTTTTAATTTTAGTTGTTACAAGAACTTCAGTGCATCTTCATTTGCTGAAATGGAGCTTAAAGAGTATTCATTGATATTCATTCTTTTCGGTAATGTTTTTGCCGATCTTTTTAATGAATTTGGCCAACAAATGATTGCTTGGCGATTGTAGTTTATCAAAAGCACAATTATAAAAACTAGAGAAGTTCATTGTTTTGTAAATGGGTTTTATCTAACAAAAAACTGAGGAAGGTGACTGTAAAGGATTTGACTTATTCGGTAAAAATTCCAATATTCAGATGCTAATATCTCGGCATACGTGTTTCTTTATTTTAAAAAAATTGGTTGTAGGTAAAAAATACTGACGGATTTTTCAGTTGAAATTTTTGAATAGCAGGAAATTACTCTTTGCCGTGATTTTATTATATAAAAAAATGTGTAATATTTGTAGTATAAGAACCTTTTTTTCCATTATAAATGAAAGAAAAGATCAAGGACGTTGGTAACGAAGTTCTAGTGGTTTTGGTTCAGGACCTTCATAAAGTTTGAAATCCTATCTGGTACTGTGTGGAAGGTAATGTGAACTATTTATTGCTAACAGTTTTTTGTAATTGGGTTCTTTCTCCTTTACTCTCTACTTGGCTTCTAGAAAAGATTTTGGATCAGTGCAATAAAGTTCTTAATTTTGGTCCGGAATTTCTTCTTAAACCTGCAAATAACATGTTTAATTATTTAAATGATTGCAAACAATTTGTGATGTTTTCGAAACAGCTATTTGGCCATTGAGTACGGTTTTTTGGTGATAAATTACCATTCAATTTACTTGCTGAATGTAATGATAATTTGGATCTTTTAATGCTAGCACACTAACACTTTCCAGTGCTCCTTGACTTGTCTGAAATTTCTGAGACGTAAACAGGCAGTCTTCATCCCGGTTACACATTGAAGTTTGTGAGATTTGTGAATGAGTATGCAATAATTTACGGATGGTCAGGTCGCAACTATTAACAATTCTATTCCATAACTAATTCTATGCGAATTCCGTGTACCACTTGCGTCTTTCATGTTGGAAATAATTTTTGAGCTTACAAGAATTTTAATGAATATAGGGAGTGATTTTTCAAGTTATAATCGGTCCCTTCTGAGTAGTTACATTAAAAATGAAGTGGAAATTCGCATCATAGGTGCTTTGGACTTAAATTTGTCGGCTGACTGTTGATTAATGATTCATACTCGGTCAATTTTCATTACCCTACTGTTTGAATCACTTCAGCATAATGATCATTATCTATAAAATGATCAATCATTAATTTAATATGACTTCAGCAAACTTACGAACGAATGATGAATGTTACTCTTTGGGTTAGATTATAACCCCCATCTCTGTCCCTTGAACTCAAAGTTTTGTCGACACTTTCGATGTTTTCATGAACCAATTGTATCATTTCAGTATGAGTGGATAAGAGGTTTGTACCGATTCAAATCTTTTAAAAAATTTTCGAAGTAATCGTTTATGTTTCAGTACATTCATATCTGGTAATACGTTTGGATAATGGTATATACTGTTCTAATGGAACACTTTTTAAAAACAAATTTTCAACAGTTCTCAAAATTCCAATCAGTTTCAGCACCACGCATCACTGCTGTTTGAAAAGCAAATACCAACCCTGAACTTTCGCACTGTTTTGCACACTGCGAAGATTCGCATCATGTTTGCTAGAAATGAAACTATTTGTTACACATTAAGTTATCAGCATATTATTCTGAATCATCAGTTGCATTTGTTATCATCTGGTGCAATGTAGAAAATTCGTTTTCAAGAGAAACAAAATGAGTGCTATTTGCGTACCTCCTGCTGTGCTAAAACCTAGTTGATGTTTAACCGGTTATCTTTCAATCTAATTATTAATCTTGAAATAAAATTAAATATGTTTAGTGACCGCATACAATCACTTCGTTTGCTGGAACATTTAATTGATATATTTCAACTCGAATTTAAAGTTTGGATTCAATAAATGCAGACCTGAACACTATATAAAGAGATAAATAAATCATTACTGCTTGCAGTAGAGACGTTTGCTAAGGATATCGACAATATGATAAGAAAAGTCCATAAAATAGTAGTAAAGCGACTCGATTCTTCCTTTAAAAAGACGAAGGATATGTAATTCAGTGATATTTCAATATTAGTGCAATAACTTGGAAGTAAACATCACTAGTGGTACAGAGAGTTACTTCTTGGTTAATCCATCTTCGGAGACAAGCATGTGAAGAATTGGAACCGTTAATCAAGTAGCACTGTGTCGCAAGTTCAAAAAACGATTTCCACCAAAACCAGACTGATTGATGGCTTAGGGTTGTCGCTCGCGAAAAGGGAACGATTTATGAGGTCGGAATTCGGTGCATTTATGAAATTCGCCAAAGATTTATGATAACAGCTCTGAATGGTGTTCCATTTCTTTTTCCTACCTGCTTCTTTCTGCTTTGCTTTTTCTAGTACTGTTTTTAAAATAAAGACTACTGAGAAAGTCACAAATTCAATGCTAGGGCGTCGCTATTAATATGCTATTTGTCTATATATAAACATTTAGTATTTTAAAAGTTTTCAGTTCTATTTAAGTCTCAGTTATGAAATTGTTATAGAAGAAAGGGGCAATGGATTATTAAACAAGTTTCTGGATATGACATGTGACATCAAAGTAATTCTATTTCTTGAATTAGCGGATGAAAAACAGTTGAAGAAACTTGTTACTTGAAGGAGTAATTCATTAAAAACACGTCGATTTGTGATTCTAATGATATGATAAAATATATTTACGCCTATTATAAAATGACTAGCTTCAGGTAGCTTACTATCATTGCGATCTGTAATGGCTAGCAGTACCTTCATTAAGGAAAGGAAGCAAGGATTATTGGTACATACTCTAAATCATTGGTATATTTGCCATCGTATCGAGTAAGTTGTGACTGATTTCCAGAAGTGATATTCTTTGATTCTAAATGTCTGTAATTCATTAGTTTTTTTAGTTTGTCACCACGGTGTTTGACTCACCATGGTGTTTGACTACTAATGTTTAATAATAAATGGTTTTGTGTATCACATCGTGCACCTCTCCATCTCTGTTTTTCCCTCTCTCTGCATATCTATGTGTGCGTATGTTTGTCTGTCTGTCTGCGAATTTAAAACTTCACATTTGTTAAGATGATATATTGGAAATCAAAGTAAGATTTATTATAGGCACCACTTTGT